CCAACCAGAATTTTACCTTTCTTTCTCACTAAATCATCCTGCCAAGTATAGGCATTGTTTCTATCATTAGAGTTTGTTTTCAGTTCTGTTATGAGTTGTTGTATCCTATCATCCCCTTCATAGCTCTTCTTTATTAGGTCCAAAAGATCAGAACTGATAGATGAAACGGCTAGACATAGCAATTCAGCTCCTGAAACTCTAGAGAGAGCATCTGCCACCTTGTTCTCAGTCCCACTCTTGTACTGAATTTCATATCTGAATCCCATCAATTTAGACAACCAAAACTGTTGGAATGGGGTAGAAATCTTCTGTTCCAACAGCCACTTCAGGCTTTTCTGATCAGTTTTGATAACAAACGTTTGGCCAAATAAGTATTGTTCCCATTTTTGGACTGCAAATACCAAAGCCAGTAACTCTTTCTCATAAACTGATAATTTCTGCCACCTTATACCCAATGATCTGCTGATAAATGCCAAAGGGTGTCCTTGCTGCATTAGTACTGCTCCTATGCCAGTGCTAGAGGCATCAATTTCTACCACAAATTGTTTTTCAAAATCAGGTAAAGATAGTACTGGAGCAGTTGTTAAAGCCTTTTTAAGTTCTGCAAATGCTTGAGTAGCTCCATCATTCCACTGAAAAGAACCCTTCTTCAGTAGTTCAGTAAGAGGTTTAGTTATTAAAGCATAACCTCTAATGAACTTCCTATAATATCCTGCCAAGCCCAGAAAACTTCTGAGCTGTTTAAGTGATGTTGGAGTAGGCCACTGCACAATAGTCTCAATCTTCTTTGGATCTGTTTCCACCCCTTGCCCAGAAATATAGTGCCCTAGATACTCCACCTTCTTGATTCCAAAAGTGCACTTACTCATTTTAGCAAATAGCTGATGTTGCCTCAACACATCAAAAACTAACTTCAACTGTACTTTATGTGTTTCTAAATCAGCACTACCCTATATACTAAAATGTCATCAAAGAATATCAACACAAATTTTCTCAAGAACTCCCTGAATATATGGTTCATAAACACTTGAAAAGTGGCTGGTGCATTAGTTAAACCAAATGGCATAACCAGGAATTCAAAGTGTCCATAATGAGTCTTAAAAGCTGTCTTGTATACATCATCTTTATGAACCCTCAACTGATGATACCCAGCTCTTAAATCAATTTTTGAAAATATTTTTGATCCAGCTAACTCATCAATTAGCTCATCTACCACTGGTATGGGAAATTTATCTTTGATGGTCTGATCATTTAGGGCTCTGTAATCAATGCATAATCTCCAATCACCATCTTTTCTCCCTACTAACACTACAGGTGAGGCATATGGTGAGGCACTGGGCTGGATAACATCTTTCTTTAATAATTCCTTAACCTTTTCTTCAATAATGTCTTTCTGCTTCAAAGGGTATCTATATGGCCTCACATTTACAGGTTGAGAACCCTCTTTGACAGGAATTCTATGATCAAAGACCCCTCTGCTAGGTGGAAGTCCCTGTGGTTCTTCAAAAATATCTTTATATTGTTCAATCAACAGCTGTAAGCCTTCAGGAATAACATACTTGTCTGTCTTGCCAACCATATTAATTCCAAAATGTTTCCCCACATATTCCTCTCCATCTTCAGCTGATTGTGCCTGACACTGAATTAGACATAACTGAGTAATCTGGTTGAATTGTTTCTTTGTCCCCTGTATTGCCTTCAACTTACCCATCTTCTGTCCTCTTAAAACAACTGATTGACCTCTGTGTTCAAACTTCATGTACAAATCCTGAAAATTCCATTGGATTTCTCCCAAAGTACTCAACCACTGTACTCCCAAAACCATGTCATAACCACCCAATGGAAGAACTAAAATGTCTCCCTGAAAGTAAGCATTTTGCATCTTCCATGCGAATTGTCTGCAAATATACTTACATGTGGTGTGAGAGCCATCAGCTACTGCCACAGTTACAGGTTTGACTTCCTCCAGCCTACACCCTAATTTCTTAGCCATATTCAAGCTTAAGAAATTGTGTGTACTCCCTGAATCTACCAGCATCAGCAGCTTCTTTTTATCCACATATCCATGAAAACTGAACTGAATTGGAAACTGAATTTTCTTGTATATTAATCAAAGGAAGGGTTACACTTATATAGGAAATCCTAACATCTAACTAGTACATGTAGTACAACTAGTACATGTAGTACAACTAGTACATGTAGTACAACTAACCTAACATCTAATTAGTACAACTAGTACAACATGTACTACAATAGGAATAGTGCAAAAAGTACAGCATGTACTACAATAGGAATAGTGCAAGAGATAGTATTCTTCACACCCCCCTTCAAACTCAAGATGGGACAGCATAGACCATCGAGAGTTTGCCAAGGAGGAAGCGAAAGCGGGCTGCAGTGTGAGTCTTGGTGAAGAAATCAGCCAACTGTAGTGTGGAGCAAACAAAGGGCAAGGAAATCGTAGCCGACTGAAGGTGTTGACGAATAAAATGGCAATCGATTTCAATGTGCTTTGTACGTTCATGGAAAACAGAGTTATGAGCAATCTGAATAGCGCTCTTATTGTCACAATACAGAGGCGTAGGAGAAGTGATAGAGACACCCATATCCGAGAGAAGCCAACGAAGCCAAACGACTTCTGAGGTAGCGTGTGCCATGGCACGGTATTCAGCTTCGGCAGTAGATCGAGCAACAACAGATTGTTTCTTACTTTTCCAAGAGATAAGAGAATCACCCAGAAAAACACAAAGGCCAGAGGTGGATTTGCGGTCACTAATATCACCAGCCCAATCAGCATCAGCATAAGCTTGGAGTGTCAAACTGGAGGTGGAAGATAATAGAATGCACTGGTGAATAGTACCACGAATATAACGGAGAATACGTAAGAGAGCAGCCCAATGCGTAGAGCGAGGAGCAGAGACATATTGGCTGATAATATGAACAGCATGAGAGATATCCGGTCGAGTCACAGTAAGATAAACCAAGCATCCTACTAACTCACGGTATTCAGTAGGATCTTCAAGAGGAACACCATCGGAGGCAGAGAACTTGGCATGAAGCTCAAGAGGAGTGTCAACAAGCTTGTGATCCGTGAGACGAGCGCGATGAAGAATGTCAGTGGCATATTTAGACTGTCCCAGAAGAAAACCCTTAGGAGAAGAAGCAACTTCAATACCAAGAAAATACCGAAGAGGGCCCAAGTCTTTCATCTCAAATGCACGAAACAAATGGCTTTTCACGTCAGCGATAGAAGCAGAGTCGGAACCAGTGATAATCATGTCATCCACATATAATAGGAGAAGAACTAGACCATGAGAGGTGTGCCGAATAAAGAGAGCTGAGTCGTGCATACTTGGTTTGAAACCAATGTCAAGAACCACATCCTGAAAGCGAGCATACCAAGCTCGAGGGGACTGTTTCAAACCATAAAGAGCACGACGTAAGTGGCAAACATAACCAGATGAATGAGAGACACCCGGGGGAGGTCGCATATAAACTTCCTCATTAAGAAAGCCATTAAGGAATGCATTCTTGACATCAAGTTGATAAAGAGGCCACTGATGCACCGCAGCAACAGAGATCAATGTGCGAACAGTGGTCATTTTCGCAACAGGAGCAAAGGTTTCTTCATAATCAATACCATATTCCTGAGAAAAGCCTTTAGCAACTAACCGGGCCTTGTACCGTTCTAAGGATCCATCAGAATGAGTTTTGACCTTGTAAACCCATTTGCAGCCAATAAGATTCTTACCTGCCGGGAGTGGAACCAATTCCCAAGTATTATTCTGAGCAAGAGCAGTAAGTTCGGCATTCATGGCTTCAACCCAGTTGGGATCATGACAAGCTTCTTTATAAGATTTGGGCTCAAAATAAGTGTGAATTCGAGAAAGAAAAGACTGATAAGAGGATGAGAAACAAGTATGAGAGAAACCAAATTTTACCGGTGGATGACGATTCTCACGGATAGGATACCGACGTGCAGGTGGATCAGGATCGTCCAAAGCAGATGGGGCAACCGAAGAGTCAGATGGCGGAGGTGAACGTGCAGCACGGCGGGAGTAGACCTGGGGGAACGGGAGGATAGGAGACAGTGGCGGGGATGAGGGAGCAATATGTATATCTGATACCTCTAGTGTGGAGGTATATTCCTCAGACGGCACATCCGTTGGGAAAGGGTCAAGGTGAACTATATCCTCTTTGGTCACAGGAGCAACATGCGGAGGGAGAGTGTAATATGGCAGACGCTCTAAGAATGTGACATGTCGGGATGTATAGAGCTTTTTGGTGACTGGATCGTAACAACGATAGCCTTTTTGTTGAATACCATATCCCAAGAAGACACATATGGCACAACGAGCACTTAACTTGGTACGATCCTTTTTTGGAAGAAGTACAAAACATGTAGAACCAAAAACACGAAGGAGAGAGTAGTTAGGAACCTGACCATGAAGTCGTTCATATGGTGAGCTGCCAGAGAGAAGGGGGGTAGGCATTCGATTCAAGAGATAAGCTGCAGTGAGAACAGCTTCGCCCCAGAAAACAGATGGGACAGAAGATGACAGTAACAAAGATCGAGCAGTGTCAAGAAGGTGACGATGCTTCCTTTCGGCTCGACCATTCTGGGGAGGAGTGTCAGTGCAAGAGGATTGATGGAGAGTCCCAAGTTTGTCTAAGAAGAGAGTAAATTCATTAAGAGAATATTCCCCACCCAAGTCAGAACGAAGAATTTTGATAGATGCAGAAAATTGGGTTTGGATCATGGCATGAAAATTTTGAAAGATATGGAAAAAATCAGACTTGCGGGTCATCAAATAAACCCATGTATAACGAGTGTAATCATCAACAAACGAGACATAATAAACTGAACCACCCTTTGTAGTTATTGGGGATGGACCCCACAAATCTGTATGGACAAGAGCAAACGGAGATGAAGAAACGGAAGTGCTTTTACTAAAAGGTAATGCAGACATCTTGGCAAGTTTACAACCACTACATTCTGAAATGTCACCAACAGAAAGGTTACCCAAATGACCTGATTGAGCTAAAAGCTTAAGACGCTCACTAGACAAATGTCCTAATCGAGAATGCCAAAGATAAAAAGGGGAAGATGTGTGGTCTAAACGGAAAGACGAAGCAGCAATAGGGGAAGACTTCAGTGGGAGGTGCAAGGATTCCAGGATATAGAGGTCACTAACTCTACGGCCGGTCCCAATCTGCTTCTTGGATTCCCGATCCTGCACAACACAACCAGAGGAAGAGAATATAACATCAAAACCAGAATCAGATAGTTGGCTGATGGACAAAAGACTAAGTGTTAACTGAGGGACATAAAAGACTTCAGGAACAGATAATGAACTAGAGCAAATGGAACCAATGGAGACAACATGCATGGGTGATCCATTTGCTGAGGCAATACTAATAGGGGAGAGAGGGGAGACACAATTGCGAAGAAGCGAGGAATCAGGGGTCATATGATGAGAACAACCGGAATCCAATATCCAAGTGGTTGGTAATATACCTGTGACATTGGAGCCATGCAAACCTGAGTGAATAGAGGACATGGCAGAAGCTTGGGAAGATCCTCCCTGAATAGCTTCCATGAAAGCCTTATACTGCTGAAATTGCTCTAGCATATGAGAAGAAGGTATGGCTTCAGAGGTGGGTGCTGCCACGGCTGCAGAAGGGCGATAGTGCGGTTGAGATGCCCTGGGAACAGAGGAGCCACCAGTATGAGAATTATGTCGACCCTGAGTTTGCTGAACACGCTTAGGGCATGCGTGTTTCCAATGACCTTTCTGATGACAATAACCGCACTCATCAACAGGAATGCGAGGTCGGCCTGAAACCTGAGTCTGATGGGATGCTGGAATGGGCAAGAGGGGTGCCAAGTGTTGTACTGGCGGAGAAGATCGAGTGACAAAAACAGATTGTGACGAAGGAGATAGATTCGCCACTTTGAACCGTGTCTCCTCAGCTATGAGCTCATGAACAGCCCCATCAACTGAGGGCAACGGAGATCGATGCAGAATAGCCCCACGTAGAGGCTCAAACTGAGACCGAAGAGCCATGAGAAACTGAACAAGACGCTTTTTCTCACGATACTTCACATAACTATCAAGTAGTTGCAGATCAGATGGTTCCATAAGAGCTAACTGATCCCAAAAACCAGTCATATCATTATAGAACTCTTGAATAGATTTATCACCTTGACTAGCATTACGGATTGATAACTCAAGTTCATACTCTTTTGCGAAATTGGACTCAAAATACATATTTTTCAAATACTCCCAAACATCCTTGGCAGTTTCATACTTTGAGAAATTCATACCAATACTTGATTCTGAAGAATTGTGAAACCAAGTCAAGATTTTTCCGTTTTCTCGCTCCCATTTCGCAAAATCAGTGGCATAAGTCTTTGACTCTTTATCAGATGGTGTTACAATTGAACCAGTAACATGTCCCCATAAGCCTTGACCAGTTATAAAATTTTTCATGACCCTTGACCAATAAGAATAATTGGCCCCATTCAAGCGGACACTAATACTTGAAATTTTATCTTCCGACATGATATGAAAAAGTACTCACAGATAGAAGCAAAGGTTCAGGAACAAAGTTACCGGCACAACGAGGTGTTGAGGGAGCAGATTGAAACAAAATGTTTGCTGAAACTGATGAACAGTACTGAATAGTGACTGACGATCAGTAACCGAGTGCTGGAAGTGGCTGACGGTGCTCCGGCGAGGGGCGTCGGAGATCGGAGGAAGGCTGGGATTGACAAGCTAGTGCTGACAGGTGATCGGCAGAATAAGGGAGAATCAGAATGCAGAAATGGGTTTTCAGATTTTGACAGAGAGAGCTGACTGAAGAGAGAACTGAAGTTGGTTCCCAGCACACATAAGATTTCGGATGCTGATTCTGAACAAAGGCTAGAGAGGTGACTGAAGACAAACAGAGAATATCAGCTCTGATACCATGAAAACTGAACTGAATTGGAAACTGAATTTTCTTGTATATTAATCAAAGGAAGGGTTACACTTATATAGGAAATCCTAACATCTAACTAGTACATGTAGTACAACTAGTACATGTAGTACAACTAGTACATGTAGTACAACTAACCTAACATCTAATTAGTACAACTAGTACAACATGTACTACAATAGGAATAGTGCAAAAAGTACAGCATGTACTACAATAGGAATAGTGCAAGAGATAGTATTCTTCACAATCCATTCAATCTCATGGTTCTATAATCTGCATAACCATTGATTGCATGAAAGGATATCAAGGGCTCCTCCTCCTGCATATTATACTCAACATTGCCCTCCTGTGTTATTATTTCTTCTTCCTTATCCTCCTCCAACTGGTTACCAGTGATTTCAACCAAAAAAAATTGTGTGCCCTTATGGTTACACACATGCTCTTTGTTATAGGGCTGATCACAGTAGTAACATAAACCCTTAGCCCTTTTTTCAGCTCTTTCACTAGCTGATACAAACCTTCTAGGTACAGGTGTACCACTAGACTTATATGGGTTAATAACAGTCTTTGGTGGCTGATTAGGTGTTGGTAGTATAGGTTTGTTAAGAGCTATTTTCTGAAAGTTTGCAGACTTGGCCTGTACTGTAAAAGCTTCAACTGTCTCATCTTGTAGCCTAGCAATCTCAATTGCTTCTGCCATATTTTTAGGATTGAAAGCTTTGACAAATGATTTTACTGTAGGCTTTAAAGCAGCAAGGAAGCAGTCCAAAAAATAACTAGATGGCAATTTGGGATTCCTTTGTATCATGGCAGCCTTCAGGGTTTCAAATTCATCAATAAAAGTCTTCAATAACCCAGTGTGTTTCAAACTGTTAAACCTTTCCACCACTTTATTACTCAGGTTATCCTTAAATCTAGCATTCACATCAGCAATAAAATGTTTCCATTTCAACCTTTTCTTGGACCCTATATAATGTCCAAACCAACTGGCAGCCCTTCCCTCCAAATATAATGATGCTAGATTAACTTTCTGATTGTCAGGAATATTGAAAAGTGTAAAATACCTCTCACATTTCTGAATCCACAGCTTTGCGTTCTGGCCTTCAAAAGTGGGGAATTCTACTTTAGGTGAGAATCGAAAGCCATTTGTTGGTGCAGATTTGCCAATGATTCCATCTGATTCCTCCTCGGATGATTCCTCCTCTTTATCCTGGGAATCAGGGTCTTCATCGGTCTCTATCTCACTTACAGACTTAGATTTCTGCATATCCACCACTTTCTTCATAATCTTGTTCATCATATCCATCATGATTTTGTTTTGACTCTCCAATTTCTGATCAAACTCCAGCTGGATGACTTTTAGGGCTTCCTCCATCTCTGAATTGAAGTTTCGCGTCTGCGCCATTCTTCTTCAATCGTTCCAAGGTAGTCGGATCAAGGCTCTGATACCATTGATATGAATCAGGCTATCTATTAAATGTAAGAGAAGTAGATAACGAGACTCATATGCTGAAAATTAACAGAGTAATAGAGAGGAGATAGATTGGGAAAGAAGACAATCAAGAATCAAGATATTCATATCATTTTTCCTGTACAACCGAAGCTATATAGACTGATGACAAGTTCAAAGTTAGCTCAGCTCAACAAACTAACTCAACAGACTTGCCACGTGTTCTATTTTGATAGCTTCTAATTACACGCATAACCCCTAACCACCCAAAATAAGAAATAATGATCTGGCAATCCATTTCAACTATATCACTTAACGCTTTGGAGGCTGGAGAAAGAGAGATCGGCATATTGAAAGGTAAATTCACTCTCGTGTTTTTCTTTTGAACCCCACACATCTCTTTTTGTGAAATTGCAGGGGAATTTTCTTGAACACATCCATCAGCCCGTACCAGAATTACCTCAGTTGGTGATGACGATCAACATCAGCTACAAATTGGTGTGAGGAGAATCGGGAAATCACAATTGAATTTCTGCCGAAGAGGGAGACGGTGTTCGATGCTTTGTTGCTGATTTCTGGCGAGAGAGTCCTGCAGCGAGATTCTTCCGAAGCTGCAGTGGGTTGCTCTTGTTCTTGCCGCTGATGCAGATCGAAGCTAGTTGGTGTTGGAGAAGACGCTGGTGCCTCTTACAGGACTGCTCGTGTTGGAAGCTAGTTGGTGTTGGAAAAGATGCTGACGCCTCTTGCCGGGCTGCTCGTGCTGGAAGCCAGTTGGTGCTTGAAGAAGATCCTGACTGATGAATTGATGCGACCGTTGAAGGAGGTCGGTGATTGGAGGAAATGTTGGCCATCGTTCAGTTGATGCGGCGGAGATGATGCTGGTTCATCCGAATTTCAACCAGTAGCAGAGTAGAATTCTTCCGGAGCTGTTGTGGCTAAAGACTGGCCCGTTGTGGAAGCTAGATGGTGTCGACGCCAATAATTTGGAGAAGACGCTGAGGCTGATTTTGTTTTTCTTTTGTTGCCGCTCGGCGGAGAGAAAAGCTATTGTCGTTGCTGAAATCGTCCAGCCTGAGATGCGCCGGCAAGAACTTTGCTGATGCCACGGACGGAGGTTTCAAGGAAGCAAAGCGGCTGCTGATTTCTTTTTATTACATGCGCGTCCGTTGAAGAGGAAGGAGCAGATCCATGGCTTTGCTCCGGTTCATCGAAGAAGAAGGTCTTGCCAAGCTCGAAACTAATTCTTGGCCAGATGGGGATCTGCTTTGTTTCTGATATACTCGTACCTGCGGCATGAAGAAGATGACGGGAGATGATATAATTGCCGCCTTCATATGCTGTGAACACGACGGATGAGCGACTTTAGCTCAAGGAGATGACACGGAGATAGATCTATCTCTGCTGAAAGAATTGATTTGAATGGGCTTTATTAATGGTTGGGCCTCTCTAGGATTTTAACCCCCATTATTATTAATGGATGGGCTTTATTTTAGATGCTTTTTAGACTTGCTATTAATAATGACAATAAGACATCATCATTATTGTCGTCGGCACCTGTTCGTTGTTGGGATGGTAGCTTCGTTCAATACTTCAAAGACATTTTTATCGTCGTCGCCACCTACTCCGTTGTTGGGATGGTGGCGTCGTTGTGGAGACGTCGTTCGAAGCCCAACTCAATCCACTTCCAATGAGGAAAAATTCCTTAAGCCTTTTTTGTTCATCTATTTTTTTCCTAAGCCTTCTTCTGATATTCGCTTTGACAAAATGAATTAATTGGAATTTATTTTGTTATAACTGAACTCAAAAATGAAACTATTGAGCTGCCTACGTACTCCTATGAAGGAGATCAAGTCAAACGTAGTTCACACGTACCATTTGAATTGGTAATCTAAAAAGAGGTGGGGATGCCGTACACAGTTTTAACTCATGCGGACCAGGAGCTTGTCGTACACAATTTTAACTCTCGTGGGCCAAGAGTATCTATGATTATGCTCACCCATAGACAAAGTGAGATGTTTTAGCAGTTTAGCCACTTACAACGTCATTGGTGGTTTAAGCCTTTCAACACTTTATTTGACATATATATACCCCGACATCTAGGGTACTGAATCTTCATATTGGTCTTCATATTGACCACGGGTGTGCACAATGGCCACTGGTTTGACTTTAAATGCATTCCCATAGGTCACTTTCACATCAGTTTCTCGCTTCATACGAGATGAGTTAAAACTTCTATACTCATTAAGACTTTGCTTTTCGAGAGAAACTTTAGCAGATGTATTGCGTTCATGTTTCAATCCCAATCGTTCATGAACAGACGTTCTTTTGAAGTTTTGTCCTGTGCATGTGTCTTCAACGTGTTTCATCATCATTGAGCTTGTTCCAAGCCGTTCTTGTAAAGTCATCTTCATAACTTTCTTTGGCTTCGGACCCAATCTATCAAAGATGGCGGGCCTTGATCTTACCCCCTCAATCCGATCAAAGACCGAATACTTCAGTTTAGAAGTTACTTCATCTTCTTCATCAGCACTAATATGATGCGTTGCGGCTCTATTTATGAGGATCCTTATGGGTTTCGGCTGAACATAACCCAATCCTGTGTGCCCTTGAAGATTGATCTGCTTCAGTTTCCCTCCTCCACCACCTTTTGGAATGAGTTTTCTCAAAATCGGTTCGTTGGGATTATACCCAATCTTGGTCAGAAGTTTGTATGCGTTTGGATTAAATCCTTCATTTGTGCGTGCTTTAGGGAGCTGAAATGCCTTGACATCATTCCCACTTTTTACTTCCTCCTCAGATGTGTTTTGAGGAGGTTTTGATATTTCAATCTTTGCAAGAGGAAATGTAAGCCCTTCTACGCCTTCAGCAAGCTTTCCTTTCAGCTTTGGTCCAATCAAGGGGCGATATTCTTCCTCTTGTCTAACATTGTCATCTTTAGAAATTTTGGCCTTTAGGTAAAACTTCGCATCTGCAAAGTATGCCTCGGCTTCTGTGAATGGAGTTTCATCGGCCACTACCTTCTTTACAACGCCATTTTGCTCATACATGAAGCATTGGTGCCATGTTGAAGGGATTACACCGTTCTCATGGATCCATGGGCGTCCTAGGAGGAGATTGTATGAAGCCTTTGCATCAATCACATGGCATAGAGTGTTTTCCTTCAGTCCGCCTATGATCAAATCAAGACGTATCATTCCAATCGCCCTTTGCCCCCCTTGATTGAAGCCTTGAATCATCAAGCGGCTTTGGGAGAGTTCATCCATTGATATATCAAGGTCTTTCATAGCTCGAACCGTCAGAATGTTAACGGCAGACCCTTGATCAATCATAATTCTTTTGAATCTTTGTCCACGAGTGTATCCTTCAACAAAAAGCGGACGGTTATGGGGAGTAGCACCCAACATGAGATCTTCGTCTTTAAAGATAATGTCAGTGACGTATGAAGTAGATTTTTGTGCTTCGACCACTTCTTTCTTAGTCGAAACTAGAGATGGACATCCACTTGAACTCTCAACTTCTTCTTCATGGGTGCTAACACAAGAACTTGAAATTTGAGTCATCTCGTTCTTGAAATCCTTTGGCATAAAATCGTTGAGAGTAATCACCCTTCGTGCAGTCTTGGAATGAACACAATCTTTCTTTTGTTTCTTTTGCTTTAATTCGTTTATCGGTTGTTTCCTGACCCAATTCTTTACCACTTTCCTCGATTGTGGCTTAGGTGTGTGGTTCTTCTTTTGTTTCTTTCGAGTTACCAAAGTCCATGATCTTCCTTGGTCATCAACATTCTCAAGTGCCATTCTTTTAGTGAGAGGAAGAAATTCTTTCATTTCCTTGACAGTAAAAGGGAGCTTATGCTTGTGAAAACTTAGGTCATTGTTGACCATGAGCGGAGCAAACCTACCAAATGTAATGTTGATTTGGTTTGTGCTTGCGGCAGAATCAGCTAGTTCAATCTTTCCTTCGCGGGCTAATTAAGGCCATAATTTTATCTTTAAGCACCCAACACTTCTCAGTGGGTTGACTTAAAATTCGATGATACTTGCAGTAGTTGTGGTCATCAACCTTTGTAGCTTCCTCAGGTCGTTTGGACTCGGGCAAATCTATGAGCTTCAATCTCATCAGTTCCTCAAACATGGGAGGAACGTCAGAGTCTAAGAAGGGGTACTTCTTTTCCAACATCTCTTCTAAAAATGGTTTAACACGTTTTAACGTTTCCAAGTCAACTCTAGGGACATGTTTTGAATTTTGAGTGAAAATCTTAACAGGTGCAACCTTCGCGACCATTGCTTCTTTCTTTTCAAACTTGGAAAAGGGTTTGCCCCCATTCTTGGTATCTTGCTTTTCAACAACATCATTGATGGGATATATACCCAAGGTTTTCCTTCTACTGCTCGTAATGCTCAACTCCATGTTACGAGCTTTGCTTGCTAGCTCATCAAAAGTGTTTGGATTGACTCCTTTGAGAATGTAGCACAATTCCCAATGCATTCCTTCAATGCACATATCGATAGCGGAACTTGTAGATATTCGTTCTTTGCAGTTTAGAGCAAGATCCCTCCAACGCTCTATGTAAGCTATCACAGATTCATCTTTCCATTGACGAGTAGTTGTTAGTTCGAGTAAACTGACCACTCTCCTTGTGCTATAAAAATGGTTTAAGAACTCACGTTCCATATCTTGCCAGCTATCAATGGATCCGGGCTCCATAAGCAGCCTCCCGAATAGTACGATGGTCGAACGTGGCAGATGGAGTCTCACATCTACGACAGATTTGATGGAGAGCATCCACAAGCTAAGCTTCAACGAGTAGATCCACTGGCCGGTAGCTTGGTCCCTCCTCCTGAGTCCATCCACACAGGTAGACTATGTAACCCGACATCTATTTCCGGTCTGAATCGATGATTTCCTTCCGCTTCTTCCATGATAGGTTTGAGTTGACATTAGGATTTGCAATTGAAGATGAAACTTTCATCGTATCAATCAGCGAAGTCCGTGAATTTCTGAGACAGGACGCTCTTCTATCTTCGCGGTATTGCCAGCCAGAACTTGGAAGCAAGAATTTGAAGATTCAAATGCAATTGAAAATTAAAAAGAGGGGAAAAGATGATACAAGATCACTCTTCCACACTAAAAAGTACAAAAATTAATACAAAACTATAAAGAAAATATGAAATTTAATAGATTCAATTGATGAAATAATGCTTAAATACAGTCTTATTTTAGTGTTATTCATAAAGTTCTTATGGAAATGACTATACGTAAATATGTAATGTCCTTTTTGAACATTAAATTAGTATAACTAAAATGAAGTACAACAATTAGTATAAAATTATAATACATACCCCATGAATATGAACATAGAGTTTTTAAAGGTGGACAAGTAAAACATGTGGGACACCAATTGTTACAAATCCATATGAAGTTGAAGATTTTATTGCAATTTGAGGCAGACAGTATATATAAACAAATGAGATAGTCATTAAACACATAGTAAGAATACATTAATTTTGAATATGTCTGCTACTTAAGTACACATGACAACCAAAAGTACATCAACTGAATTGCTAAAAACCATGACAATTAATATAAATTGTAATGCTAACTGGCCATGGTTGTTAAGAATAGCGACAGAAAAAACAAGTCTTATAAATGTTCTTCTAGGAAATAAAAAATTGAATCCATAGAATATTATCAAACTAAGAAGTACGTATCGGGATAGTATTCGTCCAAGACTTATTGTGTCCACCTTTCTTACACCGTGAACAACGTTGTTGGGAGCCAAACTCTTCAGTTGAACTTCGAAAAAATCACAAATAGGAGGATCCTCAACGTCTAGTAAAGACAAATACTCTTCAAGTTCAACTCTTGTGGCGGACTTGACTGCCTAGTTGAATTTCCATGGTAAATCAGTTTTAGATTCCATGTTCAACGTGTGGAGAAACTCTTCTTGCTGCATGAATAATTCCATCATGCCGGTCTGAGACAAAACATAAATCATCTCTATGAGCAAGAGCCTTCTTTAACTTGTTCACCGTCACACCATAATCTCTATTTATGTAAACCACTATATCATTAGGAGCATATGATTTTTTAGATGCATCTCCATATATATATATATATATATATTATATATATATAAGTGCTTTATAAGTTCTGCAATAATTTCAGATATGAATCGGCGATGATGACATTGTCTAAAATCAATGGAACAAGGTTAGTCAGAATCAAACCTAAAAAGAAGAACAAAAATATCAGAAAAGTATAGACGCTAAATAGTCCTAAAACAGTCCTTAAACAAGTACAAAAAAGACATTAAATTAAAATAAAAAGAAGTATATGAAATTCAGAACAAACACAAATATTGCAAGTCAGGCTGGTATTCAAACCTCTTCACCACACCATGAAGCTAAGACAACCTTCCTTCTATTCAGAGCATTCACACATTCATCATAGGTCTCAACAATCTATACACAATCATCTCTCTTTTGTTTTGCAATATAAAAAAGGTTTTGTTGATTATCAGCAAGCACATTTTTTACACGATCAACCATGTTAGCCAATAAGCCAGGGGAATATTAGTTTTGACACCATTGTCACGCCTCTTAACTCTCACCTAACAATGACACATCATTTTGTGTTCTTTAGTATGCTTCAATGTATAAACAACAATCAAGGGAACCTCTCAACTTCTATGGTTTCATACAAGATTATAATACAAACTACTATTGACAA